ATTTTGGCTGCCATAGAACAAGCCTTGCCGACCAATTCGATAAAAACAAAAATTCAACATGTCAGTAACAACAGCAAATATCACTTATGCAATGAGAAAGAAGAAACAGTGGATCACTCTATCAGTGGCTGCAGCAAATTCTCACAGACATTATCTACAACATCATGATCAAGTTGCCAAAATCATACATTGGAAGCTTTGCCAGAAGTTTGGGTTCGAATGCAGCAAAAATCATTGGGAACACCAAGTTGACAAAGTTCTTGACAACTTTGGAATCCAAACAACTGGACAACTGGCCCACAACATGTTTGACATCACTATTGTGGAATAGAAAAAAGTCATTGCTATTGCAATACCACATAAGGTACGAGTTAAAGAGAAATATCTAGAAAAAAATAATGAAATATCATGATTTACAGATAATGGAGGAAGAAATCAATGGTTGTACCAATAGTAATACCCAAAGTGCATAGAATACTGAACGTATTAAACCTGAATATTCTGACTTCGCAAAAATACCCTACTCTACTTGGAACTGCCCATGTACTTAAACATTACCTTAACAGCACTTAAGTCCTTGGTTATGAACTGTAGTTTTTACCAGTTCCAGACTGTGAATTGAACTGAAATTAAGTAATAATAATAATGACTATAAACTTCCAAACTGCCTCAAACTTCACCCCCCCCCTTCCCCCAGGAAACAAGTTGAAATCCTCCAGGTCCATAACTACACTATCAGTGCAGCCATTGAGTCCAACTGATCTTAGAATCAAGCAACAATCCTAAAATGATTCACAGAGCCCAACTTAATAAGCAAGGTCTGGTATCTAGTAATCTGTAAAATAGTATCTGTGAACATCAGTAGATTATATCGGTTGATCATAGCTATATTCCTATCCATATTTTGATGTATCTCTGAGAGATGAACCTCACCCCTCGGTGCCCAGCTGACTATATGTTAGGTCAGCTTTCTTATTCATCATAGGTAGCAGTATAGTAATTTTTCTGAGGGAAACCATCTGCCTACTTGCTCTGTTTAATATATATATTATCTCTATTTCTCCAGCTATTTAGGAAGCAGATTAAAGAATTAAAATATATTGAAGAAAAGTTGCCATTATTAGAAAACCTGCAGTGCCAATCAATTCTTTTGCTCAAGTTAAACTTTGTACCCATGTGCATTAAAAACCAGCTTTTGCTTGCCTATTATCTTCTATTGGCCATTTGGATGAGCAGATTGTTTCTCAGTGTGATATGAAAAAAGAGAAAGAGCTACTTACATGAGAGATGGAAAATGCTTCATGAAGGGATGTATATGTGCAAGAGAGAGAAAGGGGTTAATTTCACAAACATGCTATGTGTGTGTGTATGAATTCAGTAGCAGGCGTTAGTTATCAGATAAACACTGAATCTTTTGTCCAGAAGATAAAAATAGACATGCTATTTTATTATATTTAGCTTATCATAATTAAATGATAATCCTAATTATACATGCCTTTAATTGGGAAGAAAGGAGAGAGGAATGGAAGTAAGTAAGCTTTTAATTTTCCTTCCTTCCTTCCTTCCTTCCTTCCTTCCTTCCTTCCTTCCTTCCTTCCTTCCTTCCTTCCTCCCTCCCTCCCTCCCTCCCTTCCTTCCTTAATAATTGGAAACAAACTCTGCCTTCTGGTTTTTTAAATAAATTCTTATACTTCTACAAATTGGTGTCATAAATCTGAAATAAATCTCCAGTTTTCCTTCTGTTCAAATCTATAATTGAGGTAACCAGATCTGGATTTATTTTTATTCCATTCAAAAATTACTTTTGTTTAGATTAATTAGTCATTTTTTTATTTATTATTTATCCATGTGATGGCATTTTATGGGGAAAAGGATATTTTTTCTTCTCATGCTTCACAAAATTTCTTTCTTGTAAGCTTGTAGTGGTAACTGGACCATTTGTGCAAATTTAGGACTATGGTAATTGAAAGTATTTTTTTTTCCTGTGGAATCCCAATACAGAGAAATCATAATTTCATGCATGACTTACTTAACTTAAATTTGTTTCAATAGCTAAATTTAGTATGACTAAATTTAGATTCCCCTTTTATGTTTATGATGTTGGGCTATAAAATTTACTAGGAATGGGGAACTGAGGCCCCAGCTACATGTAACCTTAAGCCTTTATTGAGTCCCATGAGCAATTGCTGACTGTAATTGCTAAAAATGAATACTTTTGGCCAGGAAATAAATAAAAAATGGTTATTATGAGTTTTAAAGTAACTGCAGCAAGTAAACCCTTCCAATCCATACCCAAAGCTAGAAAATAGTCAAAAAAATCATTGCCCTGGCCAAACATATGATATAGTTCCACCTATTTTCTGTCATTGTCACTGCCTCTCAAAACATGAAAATATAATCAATGGCCAGTAAAAAGCTTTCCTATTCTAAAATATACACAATGACCATGTTTAGCCAAACTTACATTTTTTTACCATCATTTGGTAATCAGTGTAGATGAGTAGGATCTGCACCAATTAGACAGCACTTCTCTGTTTGAATGCATTGCAAAGCATTAATACAGTTAAGCAATATGTAGTCTCACAGATATCATAGCCACAAAAATATTATACTCCCTTTAATTCAAAATACCACACTGTACTACACCAAGATGCTCTCTCTCTCTCTCTCTCTCTCTCTCTCTCTCTCTCTCTCTCTCTCTCTCTCTCTCTCTCTCTCTAATTTGGACACCACCCATCTCACTCACAGTGACTCTAGGTGGCATACAGTTAAAACTATTTAATTGTAATTTTAAAAAAAGATTTTAAATCCACAAAAATTGTAAGTAGGCACACGTCTTGAAAATGAAAAGCAATTAAAGATTCACCAGTACTTTATAAGATGGAGGACTCATTCACTGTGGTGTTATTTGGCTTTATTTTAGCCTCATTTGTAAGAACCATAAGCTCAGAGTTATAATTATAATGTATAGCCAGTTTTGTTGAATCAACAAGTCCAAAACTTTAATTACATCAATGTTAAAAATAATTAATACCATTCTGAACAGATTTTAATTCTGTTTACCACTTGAAACAAATCTGGAAGAATATGCAACAATATACATATAAGGTAGAAATAGTACTATAGACTACTAAACCACTCTGGCTATTTTGCCAAAAACAAGGCCTTCTATTGGAAGTTATTTCACAGCAATTTTCTCTTTCTGATAAGGAATATACTTTGCATTATTTTCATCTACTGAAATTAGATGGCTACATATAAAAACATATTGACCACAGTACCACAACTGAAAACATTTTACTTTTGCTAAAACATGCTATTCCTTAATTCTCAGGCCTGCTCAGCAAATAACTTTTACATAGGAGGCAAATGCCACAAAAATGACTCAGATATGTTACATGTAAAAACTTACCTCCCTTCAAAATGGCAGCATTCTTCATAAAAAGAAAAATATGGATTAATCTTATACATGAAGAGTGGGCTTATATTTCAAGTATTGGCCTTAAAAAGCCAAAAAATACCAACCATGCTCAGGAAAAAAAGACCAGCACAAAACATACACAAGAAACGTGGGAGAAATGTTGAAAATTTGAATTCTGTATTTGATTCTTCCACAACAAATTCTAACAACAGTGTTGTTCTTTCTCTAGAATAATTTTCTGATAGGAAGCGAAGATATGATTAGGTAGATAAAAACATAACATTGTTAGTTGTTCATTATCATACATTTAGACATAGATACACACAGAGATCTAATCTTAATAGATCTGATTGTATTTTTGTTTAAAAAAGTACAAATGACCTGTTATTCCTTCTGAAACAATAAATAATAACAGCCTTTAAAGAAAGTATATGTAGGAAGAAAACATATCGATTTTATTTATTTAAAAAGTGGGAAAATATTAAATTATAATAACAGGAAAGACAGTAAGATGCAAATAGAACCAAACTTTATAAACAAGAATATCCAATTATAATACACTTTACTGTATAGCTATGATTAAAAATAGTACCAATCACAATATATTACTGGAAAGGTCATAGAATTTGTTCTATATACTTCACCATATGCCTTAAATGAGTTGGAAGGCTACAATTTTAACATTTCATTGCCATTTATATCCACCCTTTTCCTTTACATTTATTTGAATATAGGTGCAAGTGATAACACGTTAGCACCTGATCAAACAGGGCCTAATTTATAAAAAATAGTCTTCAAATGCAAGAAGTCTTCTAGCATTTCTGCAATGGAATGATGATACTGAAACATTTTTTACTTCCTTGCATAGTTATTTGAATCAAAGCCAGGGAATTTTGTTCTGTGATAAGCAACTTTGTCTTTTAAAAAACTTGAAACCAGAAATTACTGAATATCTTTCAGAATATTAGTACAAATGAACAGGAAGTTTAGAAGAGGATATTCTAAAATGGGTCACTATCAAGGATGTTGATGGATGTGTGTGTCAAAACCAATCAAGACAGGAGCCACCACCAAGCAATCAAAACCCTGTAACTTTTATTTTAATGTTGTGGTGACCATAGTGGTTTTTTGATCCCCTCCCTCCAGGATATCCAGGTCTAATTACTTAATTAATATTAATTTGTATTAATACAAAAAAGCTATACAAAGCTATGGAATCATGGAATCGATGGACCCTTATTTGTAGGCCGTTTCTAATCCTTTTGTCAGAATTCCCTGCCAAAATACTGCAATTTATTTTCTGAATTAGAAGCAAAACTAATAAACTCAACAGACCTATTTTATCTATTAGTTTTTTTAAAAAATCCACAACCCCCCCTCCAAATTTGAAAGTAACTATGCTAGCCAAAACATCTGAGGAGTTATGTTTGGAAGAAGCTAGATTTATGCAACTCCAGAATTATAGACCTTAGTAAAATTGTTTATATTCCTGTCCCATTTGAAATGTATTACAACAAGTCCTTTAAGCAGACTTTATAAAAATGTACATATATTTCCATTTATACACAGAATAGCTTACCTATTAATGTAACTGAGAGCAACATATGTGGGTTGTTGTAATTCTTGTTTTTCTAATACACGTGGGTCCGTATCTGTAATTCAAAGTATACAAACGGATTAGGGTTTGCTGACTTACATCATACAGATTAAGCACACTTGAAACCTCTTTTCTCAAATCACATGCAGTGCGGACAAAGTCAAAAATGTGTTTCACATCTATAGGAGGTATCCTATATACTTAAATAACTTTCATTAGCAATGAAAGGGAGTGTGTGGGAAAAGGGTCAAGAATGCAAAATATAATATAATTATTAGCAGATATTACTAAAAGAGATTTGCTTATTACAATGTTACACCAGACAAAAGCTTATTAAGGATTATTTAAAATGTTTTACTCTTTTTTAAAATATATTTTATTAATTTTTTTACAATAACAATCTTTAGTGCTCAGTGAACAATGTGTTGTCTGTGTTCATATATTTAAAAACAATAAATAATAATTAATTTCTATAATTAATCAATACGTTAGTTGATAATATATTTCCTTGATCCTTTCTTCTTCCAGTAATATTCTCCCTTTGTCTACATTAAACAAATATAATTTTTAATACTTTCAATACATATATAGTTGGGTATAAACATTTCTCTAGTATTTATACATATAACAATAACATCAACATATAACATCTTTTCTAATAAGCTTACGTTTCAATTGTGTTTATAGAAGTCATCTTATTAAATCATTATATTCCTGTTTTCAAGGTTCTTATTTAAGCTTAATTTCCCATCAGTATTGAAACCACTCTTATCAGTCATAATTTTCTCAAAATTCATTACCTTTGAATATCTAAACTTTTCATTCAAATACACTGTCTCAATATTTTTACATTTCATATATTATAAAAATATTATACTACTTATATATCTTATCCCTCTTACTATAAGGTCCCTTTGTGTCCAAACTTTGTCTATTCTTTTAACCATGTTCAAACAAGTATTTAATCATATAATACACCATCTAGCAATCTTACTATAGGACCTCTTTACTGTTGTTGTTGTTGTTGTTAGTTGCGAAGTCATGTCTGACCCATCGCGACCCCAGGGACAATGTTCCTCCAGGCCTTCCTGTCCTCTACCATCTGCTTCAGTGACTCCATCCAGCCACCTCATTCTGTCATCCCCTTCTTCTATTGCCCTCAATCTTTCCCAGCATTAGCCTCTTCTCCAGTAAGTCTTTCCTTCTCATTAGGTGGCCAAAGTACTTGAGTTTCAACTTCAGGATCTGGCCTTCTAAAGAGCAGTCAGGGTTGATCTCCTCTAGGACTGACCAGTTTGATCGCCTTGCAGTCCAGGGGACTCGCAGGAGTCTTCTTCAGCACCATAGTTCAAAGGCCTCAATTCTTTTATGCTCAGCCTTTCTCATGGTCCAATTTTCACAGCCATACATTGCAACTGGGAAAACCATGGCCTTGACTATACGTACTTTTGTTGGCAGGGTGATGTCTCTGCTTTGTAGTATGCTCTCTAGATTTGCCATAGCTTTCCTCCCCAGGAGCAAGCGTCTTTTAATTTCTTGGCTGCAGTTCCCATCTGTGGTGATCTTGGAACCCAGAAGATAAAATCTGTCACTACCTCCATTTCTTCCCCATCTATTTGCCAGGAATTGAGAAGGCCAGATGCCATGATCTTGGTTTTCTTAATGTTGAGTTTCAAGCCAACTTTTGCACTCTCCTTCTTCACCCGTATCAAGAGGCTCTTTAGTTCCTCTTCACTTTCTGCCATTAGAGTGGTATCATCTGCATATCTTAGGTTGTTGATATTTCTCCCGGCAATCTTAATTCCAACTTTTGATTCATCTAGCCCTGCCTTTCTCATGATGTGCTCTGCATATAAGTTATATAGGCAGGGTGACAAAATACAGCCTTGCCGGACTCCTTTCCCAATTTTGAATCAATCAGTGGTTCCATGTCCAGTTCTCACTGTTGCTTCTTGACCCGCATATAGGTTTCTCAAGAGACAAATAAGATGGTCTATATTCTCATCTCTTTAAGAACTTGCCACAATTTGCTGTGATCCACACAAAGGCTTTAGCATAGTCAATGAAGCAGAAATAGATGTTTTTCTGGAACTCCCTAGCTTTCTCCATGATCCAGCATATGTTGGCAATTTGATCTCTAGTTCCTCTGCCTCTTCGAAATCTTGCCTGTACTTCTGGAAGTTCTAGATCCACATACTGCTGGAGTCTAGCATAACTTTACTTGCATGTGAAATGAGTGCAATGGTGCGGTAGTTTGAACATTCTTTGGCATTGCCTTTCTTTGGAATTGGAATGTAAACTGACCTTTTCCAATCCTGTGGCCATTGTTGAGTTTTCCAAATTTGCTGGCAAATTGAGTGTAGCACTTTTACTGCATCGTCTTTTAAGATTTTGAATTGCTCAGCTGGAATACTGTCACCTCCACTAGCTTTGTTGTTGCTCAGCTTTCCTAAGGCCCATTTCATTTCACATTCTAGGATGTCTGGCTCGAGGTCAGTGACCACCCCACTGTGGTTATCAGAGACGCTAAGCTCATTCTTGTATAGTTCTTCTGTGTAATTTTGCCACCTCTTCTTAATCTCTTCTGCTTCTGTTAGGTCCCTGCCATTTTGGTCCTTTATCATGCCCATCTTTGCATCTGATTCTGCTAAAAAAAATTAATTTGGTTGTCTATAGAATGATGTGATTTCTTGGAATACTGGAAAACTCTTGGTTTAATGAAAGTAAGAGACTTTGCAATTTTTATAGGAATGCAGATAGAATTGCATTATGAATAGAGTGACTCTATTTTTAACTAAAAAATCTCCTTCAATTAATGAGACAGAATAATCTAATTTTTAAAAAATGCCTCTTTACTTGCAATATTATTATTTTTTAATTTTTTTGGCTCCAAAAGATCATCTATAGATTACTGTCTAAATCTGAACTTAAAATTAAAGTATGCACATATAAGTGTGACTACAGAAAAGAACATGTGGCCCAGGGACACATCCCATTTGGAAAAGGGAAACAAAGAGAGAAATCATTTGTCACCAAAATTGTTTTTCCAGTCTGAAAGAACAATTATTGTAATAAAAGCAAATCTTGTGTGCTAGTCTTATTATTTTGCAACACAAATGAAAAGCAGAGTATTTGAAGACATAAATGTGATTTGTACTGAATTAGACCATTATATCTATATAATCTTAATTGACAAGCAATGGCTCATCAAAATTACAATTTTATTAATAATGATATGAAGTGATTTAAATGAAAAGGGATGTCTGTTTCAGCAAACTAGTTTTGAGCAAGAATGTCATCTTGCTGTTTTTCATTTGTTGGACTTCAACATAAACTGTGTGGGCTATGTTAGGGATTTTCCTGGGTCATGTTAGAAATTCTCCACAGAGTTACAGGGCTAACATATTGCACACAAATACTTTAAGCTAGAAGTCCTTTCCATATATTCTTTATTTCTGTTTTCATCCTTCAAATGAATACGGTAGGCCGGTAGCAAAGGACGATTGACTTTTATAAGCCAAAATATCTGAGCATGAGGTTGATAATCTCTGTTTTAAGACTATTCTATTCCAATAGAAGACAGTCCATTATTAGCAGACAAAATGAGAAATTTTACAAATTTATAATTGTACAAGTAGGATTTTTACTAAACATCTTTCATCAATTGTATTTTGACAAACACCAGATTGCAACAAACTCTCAAATATTTTCAAAGACTCAAATTATTCTTTCACGATAAGTGACCTCTTATATTCTAATGTAATAAAATCAATTAGAGAGACTGATACTACAGAAAAAAGAAAGAATAAACCACCCTCATCTATTTTTTTAACCAGGTTATAAATTTCAAGAGCTTGTAGTATAGTTTTAACATACACAACTGTAAATGAAAACCAAAAGAGGTTTTGTAAATGAAAACCAAAAGAGGAAAAATCAGCATGCAGTTCATGGTGCCTCCAAGATCATATTGCCAAAATTTGGCAGTAAATTATTAATTCGTTGGAGTAATTTTTTTGCCAAAAGGAGAATTCCAAAAGGTCCTAAAGGAGCATTATATCATTAGATCTATAAATTAAATGAACAATTCTATCCCACATTTTTGTGGCCATTATGTCATTGCCATACTATTTGATTCAAAATATAATGCAGGCATGGAGTTTATATTAAAACTGTAGTGATTGCTTCTTTAAAAATGTAAAGGTCATGATGACCATTGTGTCCAACTACAAATGAAGATGAAAAAGACAAAAATGACTATTCATAAAATTATTCAGCATTTTTCCTCGTTGAATACATTGATTAGAAATGTGAAAATATCTAATGCATTTAGTTCTTAAACTTGAGTATCTGGAATTCGATGAGAAAGCAAAACAAAATGAGAACAAACAAACGAACAACATTAGCAACAACAACAAAACATACAAAAATCCCACTTTTCTAAATCTAGCACATGAATGCATATATTTTTTAATCTTCCAGCACAAAAAAGTCTGCTTACGTAAACATTTTAATGGCATTAGCTTTATTCATCAGAGATAACAAGGTCTGGAAAAATTATTAGCAAATGACTGCTTATGGGAAATATAAGTAGTGGCCACATTAGAAGCTTCCAAGGGATTTCCTGCCTTCTTTCTTGTTGATATCCTTGCTTACATCCTATCGCTCCTCCCCCATAACAGATGGCTGATCAGAATGCCAAGTACATATCTCTGCTCCCATTTCTTTAGTACTAGGTTTTCTCTGTTCTGGGCTATGTTACCACCCATTCTTCCTGTGTTTATCCTTTTACACTTATTCACACATGCCACTTCTTGTCCCTTTCTCTGGATTCTCCACCATATTCTTTGCATTAAGTTTTCACAATAACTACCAAATATGTGTTGAATGCAATCTGGTCTCTGTTTCTATGACTTGCAGTAGTTATCAAAGTAGAAGGAATAAGTCAATTACTGGAAATACATTTTTATATAAATACAGACTGACTTAATAAATAGCCTAAAATAGATAAAATAGATAAATAAAAATGCTAAATCCAGGGCTTCAGCTTTTCTTAGC